CACACGCTGACCGACCACGGTTAATGAGCTATGGCAGTGTCTCCACAAACATGACTGATACAGCAATGATGCTTTAGTGGTGCGCGTGTGTGTGTCTGTATGTGTGTGTGTGTGTGTGTGTGTGTTGTTTTCAGGTTCTTGGGTCATTAGGAAACAACTGGTGTAAGTCTTCAATTAACTTTACAGACCGTGGTGCGCTATGTGGTTCTTTCACCCGCTGAGCTCCGGTCTGTTGAGTTATAATTCACAGTCGATGCACAATTGCCAGAACATATCAGAGTTCTGGAGACGCTTTATTGATTTTATATTAGAGTGAAAATGTGTGCCGCAATATTTGTTGGAATTTCTGGGGGGAAAAAAAGTTTTTTCCATTATTTTTCAAACAGCCAAGGCAGTATTTGATTATGTGAGAAAAATGAGATTTTCCCAATAAATAAGAAATTATACAAACCAGGTAACTGCTACGGTGTGACAGATGAAGTGGATGCAAAACACTGTTTACCGCAGCAGGGGGACACTGTTTCTGCAGTAGTACCGTCCAAAATATTGGAGGAAAGCACTGACAAAAATACACATAAAATGTGCAGTTCATGTAATTATTAACTATATGCGCAGCTATCTCCTAAACAGCTGCAAGGAAGGCGGCTACGACGCATCGTCCTCACCTCTCGCTGAATATGGAGGGAGGCTGCAGTCGGGCACATCTCGTATTTGGAGCAAAGGGTGAGGACATGGATCATCAAACTCTCCTGTGAGCTCATTACTCCCTCCAAAAGGCCAGGACGTTTCCAAGAAGCCAGGAAGAGATTAAGAAAGATGACTCTGATTTCAAGTTTTTGCCAATGGAATCAATTTCTTTCCCTCGAAACGGATGGTCTTGGGCCAGGCTGAAACAGTTACCCACTTAAATTGAATCATTTCAGATCCTCACAGCCCAACGTAATCACTGCGCTCCCATTTGACAGGAAAAATAGATTCTGGATGGATTTTTGCACAAGTGCGGACAATCAGATTTTCGGTGCCCACATGGACTAAAATCAGATGTTTTTGTTGTTGCTTTAACACGGGGGAGTACAGGGAAAGTAGTGGTGGTAGCTGGAAGAAAGCAGTTTATAATTAGAAATTGTAACATTGTAACATTATTATTATTTTTTACTATTAACAGCATTATTTCATAGCTGATATGTTTAATGCTGAAAACAGTGGGGACATCATCTGGAAGACATGAAAATGTTGATTACAATGTAATTAAAGAATTAAAAATTCTTGTAAACTACGATGCAATCTGGCACATAATGTAGAGATACCATTCATTTGAGTTTCGTTGGATGTGTTGAGTTCTTGAGCAGTTGTTCTGAAGGAATCTGCTTTAAAGAAATAAAGTCCATCCATCCATTAGCGATACACCGCTAATCCTCACTGGGGTCGGGGGGACTGGAGTCTATCCCGGCTGACTCAGGGTGAAGGCAGGGGACACCCTGGACAGGTCGCCAGTCTATCACAGGGCTACACTTAGAGACAGACAACCAAGCACACTCACATTCACACCTACGGACAATTTAGAATCACCAACATGTTTTTGGACTGTGGGAGGAAGCCAGAGAACCTGGGGAGAACCCACACTGCACGGGGAGAACATGCAAACTCCCGGCAGAAAGATCCAGGGTGTCCTCACCGGGATGTAAACCGACGACCTTCTTGCTGTGAAGCAACAGTGCTAACCACCGAGCCACCTTGCAGCCCAGAAATAAAGTCAACTAGTTCATTTACAAATAAATTCATTTTGCATCATTGGAAACTTGTTTATCAGAAAATGTAATTTCTATGCTTGCCTTCACCCTGATTACACAACAGAGCAGCAACTCATTGGAGGTAATTCTTTTTAAGTGAACTAATTACTCTTGTTTTCTTGAATATTCCCAAATTTCATTTACTTATCAGAAAATGATTGGAAACTACATGTATGCATGTGAAATAAAGTGTTTAGCAAGTTTAAACATGAATGCAGTCATGGCTCTACACAATGCAATCAAAGCAATACACTCTGCATAATAATTAAATGAATTTAGAAAACAAAGGGCGCATGTGAAATTAATCAACTCTAAAGTCAGAGAATTGTACTAATCAGTCACACAGGGGCTTCGTTCAATAACTAAACACACTAAATAAAATTATATACGACCTTGAGGTCTGCGGAAAAGTTGACGGACAGCATTAAAATCCATCCAGAGAAAATGGCCTTGATCTAGTATGATTTGGAGCAAAATGTTTGATGTCACAGTTTAGAAAGAAGAGGCGAAAAAGAACCAGTATGGTATTTTTGGATGGCGTTGAATCGTTTAGCAGCGTCTGCAACCGGCGTGTCAAAGGCGGCTGAAAATGAAGAGTAATGCACTTTTGGTGAGGATGGGGGGAAACTCAGTCATCTGATGCCATCTATCTGCGCCGAGGCAACTGGGAGCGAACGGCGAGGCACAGCGGGGGTGTCCTTGGACAAAGTAAAGGAAAGGAAGAAAAGTGGCCGGGGCAAACAAAGGAAACGACTGCAGACAGTTTGAAGCCACTGAGGTGAAACGGCAGAGAGAGCAAGAGAGAGAGACAGGTGATTACTTAAACTCTTCTGCGACTTACTGAGAAAACAAGCACAGGTAACAAAGAGCCGGATGACTGACGCGTGCTGGCATTTTGAGTAATAAAGGCAAAGACATTGGCTCTTTGATTGTCTGTTGGTGAAGCAGCAGTGCTTCAAGCGCTTCTCAAGAGACATAGCTTATTGTAGCTGCTCGAGACGGAACAATGCTGATTATGATGCAAAGCCAGAATGTGATCGACAAGACACTTTTCTTCAGACTCAAACAAATGCGAGCGCTTCGTGACATTACATGTTTTTTTGTAACGTTGGACACGTATATAGTGAAGACGACAAAGGGAATAGAACAGCTGCAGAAAACACGTACAATAGCTGTCATGTGCTTGGCTAGTAGGACTGCCACTACCAGTCGAAACTGTATTTGAAATCTTTGAGATGTACAAAAACAAGAGCCACAAGCAAAGACGTATTCAGAGCCCTTACTGTACTACAGTGTGAAAGTCCTGCATTTAAAATGTCGCTTAAAATAAACAAATAAAACAAAAAACCAGAAGCACCAACTACAAAATGTACCACGATTACTAACAAAAAAAGTTCCTGTTGCAGAAAACTATCTGAATTGCTCGATTTTTAATAGCCTCCTATTTTCTGAATGTGTAAACAGCATTTTAATTATGTAGCTGGGCGCAGTGCAATTATTTCTAACTGCTTTTGTTACTGTTGTGTAAATGGTTCAGATTTCTGTCACACGGTTTTTGTATGTTAAAAACGTAGTGTGCAAAATAACGTGGAAGTATAACAGTCGGATTAATGTAGTGGAGGAAAAAGTTAAAGCATGTTAGATAAAGCACCTCGAAACTATAGGACTTAAATTCAAGTATGTGTTAAAGTCAAATGTCTTATGTACATGTGTTTAAAACTTCTGAAACTGCTAGTTCTCACACAAGAACTTCATTTTGGTGTGAATACCAAAACGACACATTTTGTTTTTCATGTTTAACAAAAGAAAAGAAATTTCCAAATGTTAAATTTAATAAAAAAAGTTGCTTATACACTTACATTAAACGAGTAGGTACATTTCAAAATGTGTTATTTGTTAATTTTAACCCATTTCGACCGCAAAAGGTCACATAATGACTTTAATTAAATTAAAAGAATGCTTTTTTTTCCCCTTGTCTATTTCTAAATATATGATTTATCCGAGAAACTTCAAAGCAACCTAAGTGGTGTGATCAAAAAGTGCCAAGACTGTGCCTCATAAAACCAAACACGATTTTAATTTAGCTGCCATCCTTGTCAAAGTAGTTTTTCCTGAGCAGCGCCTCTGCAGTGCTTGTAAGACTCCCTGGAAGTGTTTAACTGTGTCAAAGCAGTGATCCTTCAACTTGAATTTCATTTTCGGGAAGAAGAAGAAGAAGTAAGGCAGCTAAATGTAGTAAGCAGAGTGCGTGGGGAGTGACAGTTGTGTTGCTGTGGCCAAAAAACTTAGTGCATAATCTCGGTGCTGTGGGCGGCCGCACAGCCGGTTTGCAGCACCAATGTGCCATCGCGCCACAGTTTGGGTTGTTGGCACCAAATGTCCTCCTTCAGACACCTCAGGAGGTCAGAGCAGAACTCTGCCTTGATGCTCTGAACCTGGGGGACAAACTTCCAATGTACAAGCACATGGATTTTGAAGAAATCAAAAGTCATGGTGTTGGTGTGCTGTGGACCTGATGCACCTTGTGTTTAGCTAAAGCCTGCTGCACACTAAAATCCACAACTGGCGAAAGTCTGATCAATGACATCAACTAAATATCAACTAACTTTTGAATGAATAAATTAAAATGAGAGCTTCTATGAACACATTTTAAGTTCAGTACCAAGTTCTAATAAAAGTGCTTGTTTGTATCGAGCAATCCAAAATCCATTAAAGCTTTACTGAATAAAAAACTCGACAAAACTGTGAACAATTTCCAAAGAAGATGTAAGAAACGACTGCCACACTGGAACACGTCTTTACTACTGGATACCAGCAAAACAGTGTGTAATGCTTTGTTTAAAAAAAGAAGGCCCCATGTGAGGTTTAAGTGCTTCTCCTGGCGAGCATTTATTGCACAGCTGAAGTATGATCAAGAGTCCTGTCACTTCTACATTTGTAACATAATAAACCAGTCCACTCTAACGCACACATACAGCGTTACAAGCTTCGGTGCATTTTGTGGGGGTGACGATTTATGAAGCTGTGCGATCAATGGGTGTATAAATAACTGCAGGAATTAAACTGCGTTCCTCAAACATCCCACACAATCGCAAACCAGCATACCTTTGATGCTCAAATGCACCGATAATTGCTGCTTGTTATCCGTGTGGATGTGGCATTTAATAGAACAACGAGTGCGTTCGCAGCGAGCGAGTCTTTGTCCCCTACCTTTGCTGATGTCCTGGTACTCCAGCCACAGCTGTCTCTGGACCTGTTTGTTGGGGTACCAGATGGTACAGGACTCCTGGAAGCCGTACACCGCCTCCTGCACGTAATGGTTCCCAAACTCCCTCAGGATGGAAACAAAGTCGCTCCGCTGCGTCGCCCCGTCCAGAGAATGGATGGCCGAGCTGAAGGCTGAACAGGAAAAAAAACAAAAAAAACAACAAAGAGGTGAACGGTTTCTGTGAAAGCAAAAATCTGAGTGGGGTCTGGGATTATAGAGGAGGCATAGGAATGTCATTCCCCATCTTCTGTTCCACCTGAATCTTCACATCTTGTCTTTTAACCTCTGAAAGGCTACACATTCCCCACAAATACATGCTCCATATGAGGTGTGGTTCAACTTATATTAAGGACAAGCTCATAATTGAATAGCCACACCTCACATGGTGTAAAGACTGAATGTCACAGCTGTTCTCATGGAATTCCTCCTCAGCTCTACATGGATTTTCACTTTTACATAAAGTCTCCATAGTCACAGGAGTTCATAAAGACTAGTATACGTCCTTAAGTGATTTGCCACATTGTGAGGCAAGCAGGAGTTGATAGACGGGAGGAAACAGTATTGGCATTTTCTTTTATGTGATGGTATTAGTTGAACAACCAATGGATGACATCATTTTTTCAGAAGTCTTCTAGTGTTACAACAAGACTAATTCCAGCGGTCTCATACCACAGTGACGGCTCTCAGCAGACATCCACATGCAGCCCAAAATGTGTGTCAACACAGACGTATGGAACACAGTCTTCCAAGTGAACTAGGAAGTAATATAAAAGCCAGTTCATGCTTTCCACATCCATGTGTCGACAAGGGTCCTCATAGCATAGATTTCACCATCTAACAAAATCCAGGAAGTTCAGCTGAAACCCTCTGCAGACATTTTCTGGATCCCAAAATGTGCGTTTGCACAGAATGTCCGTACTACGAGCACGTCATCTGCATGTGTCGGGAAACAAATGGCGCTCCAAAGAAAAGACTGTTATGAGGACATGCTGTGTACGTTATCCACACATTTATAATTCATCAGTGGTGTCGCATTGAGCTGGAGACACCTCAGGAATAATCCCATTGTGACGGTGCTACAGCCAATCTGTAACCAGCGGCTATATCCTGTAAAAAGTGCAAAGACACAACCAGAAACCATCCATCTGTGTGGCAGACTGACGTGTACCTATGGTAGCATGAATAGGGCTGCGTGCTAGTTGACTGTCAAAATCAGCATTGGTCTGCACGTGGGGATGTGGAAACAGAAATTGGCCTTGATGACATCTATGCATCTGTGGTGTCCACAGCTGTCCAGGTGCAAGTCTGCAAGCAAGCATGATCAATGCTAAAAGTTGTGCTAACACGCTCCCAATGACAATGCTAACAAGCTGATGTTTAACATGTGTAATGATTACAATGGTTACTATCTTAGTTTGGCGTGTTAGCATGCTAACCTTTGTTAACTAGCATTAGAAAATAGTACAGCTGAGACTGATGTCATTAGTTTTGTGACTACTGATGTTTAGCTGGTATTATCTGGTAATCAGGTGTAACATTATAAGGTTTACAGTGTTCACTATTTCAGATAGTGATTAACAAGCTGACAGGATATTTGGTCATGAATTAAAATATAGATGTGATTTAAATTTTGAGCTGATGGTGATGGATGAAAAACTGGAGGATCAAGTGTATTACAAGAGCTCCTGAGGGGAACGTGAATGTGTGTATCAAACTTTCATCACCAAATCATTTCATCGGAGTCTGTGCAATAGTTGTCACTCAAAATCAGACATGTCAACCTGATGGTGCTGCAACAGGAAAAGTAAAGTGGTCACCTGGGTGCCATTAATGTCAGCACTAAATTTAGCGGCAGACAATCCAATCATTCTTCAAGTATCTCAGATGGACCAAAGCACTGTACTGACCAAGGGACTACTACTTCACATGCCCTACAGCAGACTGCTGGAGTGGATTAAATGTGTGGCATCAGGAGGGACAAGAACGGCTGAAAGTGGGTGTAGAAATGTCTTTGTAAAAGTTGGACTAAAATCATATGTCAGTTTAACACGATGATGTAAACCTTCACTACTTTTTGCCTTGTCTGTGGCCTAATAGCTAACAGATATTCAGAAAGTGTGCCCATAGTGACGTGTCGGCAATGTGACTTCTTGCAGCAGCAGCAAACTCTATTAGGTGTCTAATTCTGTATTAAAGACCCCTGTTGCCCTTTCTAATCCAGGTTTGTCTCACTTTATTAACTGCACAAAGGTATTTCAAATTACAGTGGGTGAAGTGGGAGTTTCTGTCAGGTGTCTGGCACCAAGTGTCCTAAATGGGTTTAGTGGACATCTGAGCCAGCTGCTTACTATTCATGAACCCCTTCAACCAAAGAGTGCTGATTATCAACAGTGTCCACGCATGGATGTGAACAGGCATGGAGGAAAAAATATACATACACGGTATAAATGTGTTGATGTCAAAGCTTCTTTTTTGTTTTTTGGGAGCGTTGCACGCGCAGCAGCATATAATTTTGAGGCTCTTTCATGAAATCTGATGAAGAATCAGAATCAGAGGAGCTGATTTAGTGAGAAACAATGAATAATGCAGCACGGGAGACTCACAATACAGTACACTTTTCTTTAGGCTTTGAACATCTACAGTTTCAAACAGAATACAGGGACTTTCATGTTTACAATTTTGCCTCTTTGTACAGCAATTCTGCCTTTATTTGCATGTCAGCATTTTTTTCTCTTCCTGGCAGAGAGCCCTGAGTGTGGTAACTATGATGTTAATGTTAAAATATAAGCATACAGTCAGTGACCTCAATGAACAACACTTGTCTGAAGAGCGGTGAGATTAGCCCATTAGCACTGAACTGAGTCATACTTTCAATAAGACACATTTTAGATATTTTACTTTGAAATATGCATCATGTAGAAATTTAGAAAGACCTTAATGAATTTCTAATGTTTGTGTATGAACAAATTTTAAATTAATTTTAAACACAAACAAAAAAAAAAAAAATAAAATATTTTTTTTAAAAAAAAAAATTTTAAATTAATTTTAAACACAAACTCAGCTCACTGTCTTATTCTGGAGATTCTGACCATCACACAGTCCTTGTCCTGAGATTGAAATAGCTAAAGTCAGAGGGACGAACAGTTGAGTGGAGCTTCAGTTTAACCTGTTCTACCAGCTGCTGTTTCCAAGGACAAGAATGAACAGTCAAACCCACATTTTACATTGAAACACCTTAAATTACAATATCTACAACTCAATGTGGCTCAAACTGCCAGAATAAGCAAATCAGTTGTGTTTGAGTTGAGAATGTTTTGTCAGCTGAGGTCAAGAATGAACTGTCAGACTTGAAACTAAAAAGAATTAAACGCAATTCAACTTGCACATAAATAACTAGGCCCTGTTCATTCAAAACTAATCTAACTGGATTTCAACTATAGGATTGGATCAGATGGAAATAACTCTGAAATCGGATTATTTCACACAATCCGCTCTTGGTTTTTGATCTGGATCACACCTTTAGTATTTGTTGTTCAACACTTTTTTAGGAGCGTGATCCAACAAAATCTGGATTCTCCTGATCCCAGCTGGATTTAAAACACAATGTAACAAAATTTTAAAACTGGTTAAAGTAATAGAGCAGTTATCATGCATTCTCACTCTATTGACTTAACATTCACAGTTGTAAGTAGACATTAGGCAACCTGTTAAACCTTGAACTGCTGCAAGGTGTAGACAGTAAAATGGTGTTTCAAAATAAAATGTAATGCTTGTAATAGCAAAGAATATAGAACGCAATTTGCCCTATTTTCTTGGATACAATTGGTTGAAGAACTGGACTGATAAGATGTTGTGTAAGATCATTCTGATTGTGTGTCTATGATGAAGAATTATGTGTTCCAGATTAATAATGATGGATCTATAATTCTGTGTATGATTTAATGTGTAGTGTACTGAATGACAATTTGTTTCTCTTCCTTATTTTGAAAAGTTAGCGAGACAAGTTGTTATGTTTTGTTTTGTTTGTTGTTGTTGTGTGTATAAATGAGATTGTGTGTATGTGTGTGGACCCCAGGAAGAACAGCCGATGCTTATGCTGGTGCTAATGGGGATCCAAATAAACAAGAAACAAGAAGTATGGCTTAGCTGTTAATATCAAAAAACGTAAAGCCTCTGACTGATTTTATTCTACTACTAGATATTTACGGTTTTTCATGATTTAAAACACAGAACAACCACACTGTATTCATGAATCATGAATATTTGTTTGTCTCTATTTCTTGTGGCCCAATGAGGGGTCTGACTGTTAAAGGAAAAGACAAATGAAGTTGAAGTTGAATCGTTTCATTGAGCTGATTTTGCTTCTTTAAATAGACTTAAAGCAACCAACTGCTGCCAGCTTGTATTTATTGTTCTTTACAGAGCTAGTATCCCACATTGCGACGTGTCTTCTCATTTGGTAATCTGGATTTAATAATACTGCAAAGTTTGCATCATGAGGCAGCGTGATCCAAACCAGTGTTGCTATAAAAAAAAAAAAAAACCTGGTACAGAAATAAGACGGATTATCTGCTCCTGGAAACCAAAACGTACGATTTTTAAATCCAGATCAATCTGGTCCAGATTACTTAGATTTTGAACAACATCAGGATGTTTCTGCTTCTCTGGGTTGATAAATATTTCATATTATTATGACTGCTTCCAATGTCTAATTATAAAAATGCACCATTTTTGAGTGTTAATGCATTTTGACCAAAACAAATGTTACTAATGAAAAAGAAACGTACATTTCAACAACACGCTGACATTTTTAGATGACGAACGCGGCTAACACGGACCCCTTGTGTCACATGTGCCTCGTTTCTGAACGGATGCGATAATGTTGCTCGCTGTGTTTCAGGAAAACATTTAACCAACACAAAGGCAGCGTTTCTCGCTTTATTTAGACTGGGATGAGTGGCGGTAAAAGCCTCCGGGTTAAGAGTTCTTTTTATCACTAATTTAGACAGCGAATCTCCCTGAAGTGCTATGTGTCCTAGGAGGTACCTAAACCGAAATGACAGGTTTTTACCCACAGTAATGGTGCGAAAGGATTTCTCCTAAATAGCTGTGTCAAGATGACTGTGGATTT